ACAATGTATCGAGATTCCAAAAGGCCTTGGACAAGGTCCCATACAAGTAGCCACAAAAGAAGCGAAATTGTCCTGGAGCGAGAGGCAAAGTATTGTCCTGGCACAAAAACAGGCCAGGAGTCAGAGAGCAAAGAACAGCATTAAATGGTCCATTTCCATCCCGGCCCCAGGGTACCGGTGGTACCCTTCAGGCTCCGGCCTAGGCCCTGTGTTAATATATTTATTAACAATCTGCACTGGGGGGGGGGTGAATAGTGAGGGAGCACAATTTGCAGATGACATTTAGGTATTTAGGTGAGTCAGGAGCAGAGAGAGCTGATTAAAGGTTCAGAGAAGGGCAACTAAAATGATGAGGGGTTTGGAACGGGTCCCATATGAGGAGAGATTAAAGAGGCTGGGACTTTTCAGCTTGGAAAAGAGGAGACTAAGGGGGGATATGATAGAGGTCTATAAAATCATGAGTGATGTGGAGAAAGTAGATAAGGAAAAGTTATTTACTTATTCCCATAATATAAGAACTAGGGGCCACCAAATGAAATGAATGGGCAGCAGGTTTAAAACAAATACAAGGAAGTTCTTTTTCACACAGCGCACAGTCAACCTGTGGAACTCCTTACCTGAGGAGGTTGTGAAGGCTAGGACTATAACAGGGTTTAAAAGAGAACTGGATAAATTCATGGAGGTTAAGTCCATTAATGGCTATTAGCCAGGACGGGTAAGGAATTGTGTCCCTAGCCTCTGTTTGTCAGAGGGTGGAGATGGATGGCAGACTTGAGGATCCCCTGTTCTGTTCACTCCCTCTGGGGCACGTGGCATTGGCCACTGTTGGTAGGCAGGATACTGGGCTAGATGGACCTTTGGTCTGACCCAGTCTGGCTGTTCTGATGCTCTTATGTGAGTTGGGTGAACGGGAAAGACGACAGCAGATGAAATTAATGCAAAGTCCTGCACCCGCAGGGGGAAACGTACACTACTCACACACCGCACAGGGTCCAAATCAGGGGTCTCAAACTCAAATGACCAGGAGGGCCACATGAGGACTAGTTCATTGGCCTTAGGGCTGCATCACTGACACCCCCCACCCTCGCTGCACCCGCCCCTGCCCCACCTCTTCCCACCCTTCCCTGCCCCCATTCCAACCCCTTCCCCTGAAGTCCCCATTCCAACTCCGCCCCCTCCCTGCCCCCAGAGGGGGCAGGAGGGGTCTGGCAGAGGCTCAGGGCAGTGAGTTGAGGTGCAGGGTGTTGCAGGGGGCTCAGGTCAGGGAGTGCAGGTAGTGTGCAGGGTGCGGCAAAGGGCTCAGGGCAGGGAGTTGCGGTGTGGGGTGCAGGAGGGGTGAGGCATGTGGCAGGCGGTCGGGGTGCAGCAGGAGGCTCAGGGCAGGGAGTTGGGGTGCAGGAGGGAGTACGGGGTGTGGCAGAGGATTGGGATTCAGGCAGGGGGCTCAGGGCAGGGGGTTGGGGTACAGAAGGGGTGTGGGATGCAGCAGGGTGCTCAGGGCAGGGGGTTGGGGTGT